CAAATAATTTTGAAACGTTGTAACTTTTCCAGCTACTGGTAATTCTCAGGAGTAACCTTTTTCTGAACAGCTACGGATTCATTGGCTTCAGATTTGCGAAATTTTCAGCTTCTTATAAGTTAGAAGGCTATATTAATAAGCTCCGAATCGTTTCACGCGGCCCGGTCCGCTCAGGAACGTGCCAAACGTGTGCACGTGCTGCACGTGCGGCTTTACCCGCCAAAATTGAATTTTTCCTTACAAGTTAGTATCCTTGGAAAGTAGTGCGTGCCAGGAGGCTCAATCTTTACTCTTTGACTGCAAATGTAAAGCTGATTGACAAGATGAAATATCAGCTGTTATTGTGTCAGCGATGGTGCGATATAGCTGTCATTCATCCTGGCATCACCGTTGACGGCGGATTTCAGGGCTCAGGCAGGGTACCCGGTCTTTGGAGTACATGTTCACGGTCCCAAAGTGATTAATCTGATCTTTCCCTTAGCTAGATCATTTGATAAGAGTTTTTTCGTCATTATATAATGTTGCTGTTTCTCTACGTTTCACCCCACTGCTGCTAACGCCCGTCCCTGTCAGAGTAGATAAGACGCGATTCAGTTTTTGGACGAGGGCGTGCACCACCACCCATCGGCACGTTACTGTACTGATCCAGTCAGTTGTCTTGCCGTCGTCATCGTAAATTTAGCTATCGTAGTTTCACCCTGTCACTCGTTTTTACATTCGTTTTCCGTTTGTTGGGAACTTTTCGATCGTGAAACCCCAATTTCCTCCGTATCGTACCATACTGATTGGTATCGCCCGCAATTTTCGGTGTTTCGGGTGAATCGTCCCAAACGGCGTGTATTTCTCCCGGTGACTATGGAAGTCGTGGCTGTCGTGTCGGAACCATGGCGACGTCGATTCTCGTCACCAACTCTGATTTCTCATTCAAGAAGAACTACTGAATCGATTCCTCGATCACTGAATAGCCCTTTCGATGGTGGTTGTTTGTGTGAACTCCTTGAAATCGACGCAGATGACCTCTGTATGTGTGGAGCTTTTTCACTTCTGAAATCGATACTTGGAGTCATTTAATTAACTCCGTTTCCAGCTGAAAATACCTCCGATGGTGGTGGTCCCCCGGCACCGGAACGTAATCGAGTGGCGGCAACTCAAGATTTTCTATCGCCTGATGCCAATTACAATGTCCATAAATGTGTGGATCCCACCGGCCAAATGGTTTGTCGTTGATTTTGACACTTTTTAGTGATCTTTGTGATTACCTGGGAAAATTCGTGTTTCAGGAGCAAAGACGGGAGCAAAAGGATGGAGTACGTCGAGCTGCGTCGTTCACTTTTTCACCCAAGGGTGCTGCTGACAAGACGAATCGGCGAGTACAACCCCCTGCTCATGAGGAAGATAACAAGAAAAGATTTTTGTATGTTTTTTACGATAATGACGTATATTATGCGGAAGTTTGAAACCTTCTTCACCTGTTCACACCTCTCATGCTCTCAATCTTACCCGACTCTTCCTACTGCACACCCTTCTTCGTGGTATATCCAACTTTTGTGGGCACCACTGTCAGGAAGAGCTTGGTTCAGCATAGGACCACATAGTAATGTGTGGGTATGATGTCTTCCTATATATGTGTGTGTGCGTGTGAGCGGGTGTGTGGAGGAGACCAGGGGCGGGACCACCACGCATTAGAAATCGCGCTTAGAAACTCGCAATGGACTGCTAACTTTGGCGTCACACTGCCATTGTCGATTCCTTGACGCCGCCATCACCGTCGTCATCCACATGGCTTCTGATGGCCCCCCGTCATCGTAACCTCTAATTAGTGGCCTTGTCGTCGTCGTGAACTTCCGTGGAATGGATGTACGACGGAAGATCAGTGTCCCCTTGCCACCTAATCCACATCGACGGGTCCAGAAATGGTCGTCAGTACGTGAATCCGATCCGAGTTCATCATCAGCAGCCAGCAGTCCGTGAGTTTTGGAATATTCAGGAATTTCATTTTCTGAAATCTGGTATTCCCATATGGGAGAACATTTTTAACTATTCTACCCACTTATCCAATAGAGAAGATTGTCGGCCGACACAATGAAGCAAGACAGGGCAAAATTCTTCCGCTAAGTGTCGGCAATTGATAGAAAAACGCAACATTTCATGTTGTGGCCTTCACTTACCTTGCTGTGCCAGGCAACCTGACAATCCCAGCAGTCTCCGGGAATTCACGTTCCCATCCACCACCCGGGGTGAAGCAGTTGCTNATCTCCGGGTATTCACGTTCCCATCCACCACCCGGGGTGAAGCAGTTGCTTATGATTGACGGAATGTTGCAATTACAATGAAGGATGTCTTAGATTCCCCGTAGAATCGTGAAGTCTCGGTGTCACCGTTATATTTTGGCTCAGTCATGTGTCACGTAAATGCCATGGCAAAAGATGGAAGGGTGAGGGTGCCTGGGGATTTTAAGTGGCCTAAATGGGTGCACTTAAAATGAATAGTTGGTCTACATAGATTAGTTCCGTTGCAATAATCCATTATGACAAAGTACACGTATAACTTGGAAACTGTTTTGAGTTGAATTTGACCCATATTGTTTATCAAAATCTGATCCGAACCTTATGACCCACGTCGATATGATATCTGTTCGTATCGAGGAGTACTGTGTGTTCCCTAATGTTCATGTGTGTTTGATACAATGCTCTCTCTCTGTGCATCATTGAGTTGCGTGCGAGCGTTGTGAATCGGTGTTTTGCCTTTAGCGTGTTTCACTCTACTAATTGGTCGTGTTCGTGTTCTCAATTATCGCCTCATGGGGATGTTTACGTGAGCCGAGGAATCGCGATGCGTTTCCGCCTTCAACTGATGGCCTGACAAAGCGGCTGTGATTTGCGCTGACAGTTCCTGTCTATTTAAACAAGGTTTTTTGTTACGCAAAAAGCCCGCTGCGACTAGCAAAAGGTCACGGCGCGCTCTCGAGCGGCGTCATACGATTATTGATTGATGGCTGTGTTCGTGCCGTGACGCACGCATGTGGCTCGTGCGCGTGTGCTTGGGAAGATCACAAATAAGAGCTATTCAAGCAAAATTGACTGAAATAAGAAGGATTTGAAGAACGTCCGTGTTTTTTTTTTCGCATTATTTTTCATAGTGACGCCATGATTCGTAATATTTTCACTTTCAATGCTTTGCCAAAAGTGTAATCTTATGGTTCCTATCAGTTTAGTGGCTGGCTCTAGTGGAATACCGCAATTTGTTCATACTTGTCACTCGACGCTTTGAATGTCCCACCCCCTCCAGCTTTCAAATTCCGGTTTCAAAGTACAACCAATGAAAAAAACGAGGGGATCAACTCAGAAATTGTGCCATCCGTCCATTCGGTATCTTCTTACTAGAAAGCGAGTCGGTTCAGGAAAATCATTTCCAGTAACCAGTTCGTTTTGTAGTATTGTCCTCTTCCTCTTATTTAGAGGCTCCTTACTACCTTCGAGTCCTCTCGATTCAGGCTACATGGAGCATGCTTTACACTCAGAAATGAAAGTATAATGTTGCATCCACAATTTCAGCGTTAACTCTGGAGATTGGGGTCCCACTTCATGTATCTGATGCAGTCCCCCCTCCGGATTTTGCTGTTTCAGAGGAAGAAGCGGTACTTTCCGAATCACTCCAATTTCCACTGACAAAGTCGGACTTTGTTTATCGTGCTCTCGAGTTTTTGTGCCATTATCGTACCGGTACTTTGAACTCTATGATAGACATTGTTTACTTCCTGATTAAAGTCCAAGTCATTCTCGATTCCATAAGTTTTTATTTACTTACTTTTATTCGTTTTATAATAACTTGAATTGTGGCATTTCCTCAGTCAACCTCAACTTTAGCGGCCTGCTTACTAGTTTCCTCAAAGCTCGGTGCGATGGAGGGCTTTTCGTTGATGACCCATTTGTCTTCTGGATGACAAGCGGGGTTCTGTGTTACTGGGTTCCTTCATCCAGCACTCGCTATCTTAGATAGGGTAAATAGAAGGGCTAATAATTCCAGCGATATCGTCTATGGGAGGGTAATCGGGCGATTTTCTGACACCTTATATGCCTTGGTTCTCATTTGCCATAGGGTGACTCTCCCACAGACTCTCCCACAACCTGTAAGATAGGCGGGGCAACTTCAGATAACACTCTCTCAAACTTTGGTCATCATACTCTCAGTCATCCTCAGTCATCACGGTTGCCGTAAACTCACCTCGTTGTCTTCTCTCCCGTCAACCCTCGCTGTATTACTCTTTTTCTAAACGGTAATAATAATATAATATTATTTTTCTAGTTTTCATACTTGTTAATTGCATGTGTAGGATTCAAAGTTCTTCTGAAGAATTCCTGAGAAGTCTGAAAAAGAATTAGGAGGCGGGGCTAAGGGGCTAACCGAAGTGACGTTTACGGATGCTTCTTCGTCGTCCGCCCATATTTCTCGGACTTTTCCCCCCGGCCTAGTGATAGTTGATAAGCTGCTACTGTTCCCACTATTACTGCTTCTTTTTACTGTCGCTACGAAAAACTTCTTACAAGTTAGTACTGTAGTAAGTACGACCTTTCCCCCACTTCAAATTTGAATGATGTTCACTATAGCATATCATATTATGGTGGATATTGCAACATCATTACATATGTTAAATGATGACGATATGGTTGAACACCATCATCACAGGTATAGAATTTGTAGGACAACTTACTGGTAACCAATTACTGTGTACTACATTCTTATCCAGTCACTATTTAGTGGGCCGATTTCGAAGACGATCAGTTTGATTCGAAATAAATTGGACGTAGCCCTATCCACGTCATCCCTATATCCTACTCGTGAAGAAGTCCGACAGTGGAGTATGAGTTTTGAATCGTTGCTGAATCATAAATGTAAGTTCCCCCTTCTAGTCTTTTTTATTGATTATATCGATTCTTGGCAAATCCCATTTTGCCTATTTTTGCAGATGGCTGCACGTTATTCCGTGAATTTCTGAAGAAAGAATTTTCTGATGAGAATGTCGATTTTTGGCTTGAATGTGAAGAGTTTAAAAAGATGAAGGAAGGCAAGAAAGCCACTATCCAACGGGCTCACGAAATCTTCAAGGAGTACGTTGCAGCTGCTGCTCCAAAAGAGGTATTTACAAAGTTTTCAGACAAAGTTTTCATGATGTCATCATTTTTCTACGACATGCGCTATCTGTAGACTTGTGTTATCAGAGGCTCATGAGCTTTTTGTGGAAAAATCAAGTGGTGGGTCGCACGTGAACGAGCACAGATAGCAAATCAGCCGACGTCATTTTTTGGGTGACTATAATCGTGAAAAGTTCATAGGACGGTCCTATCTACGCCCAAAGACGCCCTGACCGGTCACCACTTCCACCCATCCCCAAGTAATCAAGGGCATCTTCTTCAGTGCTTGTCCCCCTTGGAACCAGGGATACACTTTTCTGATGAATTGACATCACTTTCCCAATCAAATGCTCCGTTGCTATAAAACTCAACCACTTTCAAGTTCCCCGGTATCGAGAAGGCGCCGCTTCGGGCGCCCCCAGGTACTTTCCCGGGTACATGGAGGGTATTCAAGGGCGCATTGGATCTGTACAATGTCTGGTCATTCTGTGATCGGGGTATATTACCTTCAAAGACAGGTCTTTGATAATAAAGCAACCTCAGAAGAGTTGAGGACTAGGTAAGCCTAGGCGTGAATCGATCTGTGAGTCATGCTTGTAGAAGCGCCGCCTCTCACCATTGCTCCTCACTCGACCCTACTTTATTGGCTAAATAAAGCAAAAATTGGACAATAAAAGTTTAGTCCACGATGGAGAAAAAGTTTTATCATTTATGTGTCGTGAAAAAGGGCCTTTGCTTGGTGCAGATATTGCATTTGCAAAATGATAGGGGAGGGGCAATTGCTACGAAAAAAAACTTACAATTGGTCGATTCACTGGTGTTGTAGTAATGATAAATTGATATTTTTGTTGCGTAAAAAGCTCATCAATCAATAAAACATCTTGAAAAACAGTAGTTTGATGATTTTAGGTGAATCTCGATTCGGACACCCGAGCGGCTACGAAAGCAGCAATGGAAAGTGGATGTAAACCGGATACGTTCAGTCTGGCTCAAAGTCGTATCGAACAACTGATGGCAAAAGACTCGTATCGACGATTCCTCAAAGATAGCCTCTACCTCGATCTTGTCGATGGTATTGAGAATGGCGAGAACACTCCAAAAATCAACCATAAGTAATTTGGTAATGTGATCTCTCAGTTGTGTCCTCAACTTGTACCAACAACATACCAGTCTTTGCGGGTCCCGAGTGATTTTTATTACGACGCAGTCAACGATGCCACCATCTGTTTTACTGTTTAGCCCACTTGATGTAAGTAAGGCATACTAAAGTGTAGCCGTTGGTATGAATTAACATACCTTCAGCTGCTTATAGGGGCTATGCCCATGGTTCCTTACAACAATGGGGCTCATCTAGTAAACCAGAGTCAGTTGTACTTTTCATGTACTGCATGCTTCTTCATCCTGAAAATGCTAATAACTACTCTGTTATTCATGTTGTCGTCTCTCTTAATATTTTTGACTTAGTATAGTTAATAATAAGGGTTCGGCAATATATTTTTAATTATCTAAATTAAGCGGCACGCTTAAGTCCGTCCTTTTCCGTGCAATCGTTTCCAAAACGCGCACGTTTTTTTCGTGTACAAAGTCTCTTAGCAGTAACGGCGTATTACAATTACTTTTTACCTACTTCTCTTGTGTATTACTTATGCTCAGCTTCATGATGCTGCAATGTCCCCTATCGAGTTTTGGACGTAGCCGAGCGTTCAACTCGACTCGATCTCGTCGTTTTTTTACAATCATTAAGAAAGTTCTCTATGCATGCAGCTTTGCTTCATTGATTTTTCCCTGGCATTTTTCCAATTCATCCATTCATACTTGATCATCACTAAAATTCATCTCTCTGCTTTTATTTTCTCTTTTCTAGTGGTATTTTCCATTGATATGCGTGCTGTCATTCTGTCTGTATGTGGTCATCAAGATTATAGCTATAATAGAAAGTTTTCTCTCGTGAGGCTAATGAGGGGCAGTCGGGGCAGGCGCTTACTCCGGCGCTACCTACTGCTGACTCATCCTTACCTATTATGAGCGGATTAATTTTATCGTATGTACTTATGTAAATGTAATAAATTTTAATGCAACATTTATAACTTGACATATGTTTACAACGACGTGTTTCAACGGCAAGCCTTAACGCTTCCGCATGAATGCTTCGATGCTGGCTTTGAAATGATTATCCCTGGAAAAAACTCCAACATAATAGGCTTTCTATTTATAATTTGCTCGCATTACTCATGGCTTATGAGGCTATGCGCAGTCAAGCTTGATGTGGGTGCCTGTTAATGGGACAGTGCCCCGCGCACCTGTGATTGGTCATAGTTAGCAGTCCACCAATCGCAGAGGGCTCTTCCTTCCACTAAACAGTGATAGCCAATTTTCAGTGATAGTCGTTTATACTAAGTTTATGTGTAGTTTGCAGTTACCAAGTTTTGTGAGACTATTCTGCAACTCGAGTTAACTTCTCACTGATCGTTCCGATGGTATAGCTCAAGGTGTGGTGAGCCTTCCTGTTTGATTCCTTGAGAAGCTCTAGTTATTCGCACTTTTTTCTGCTAGGCTCAGTTTTTCTATCTATCGTTTTGATAGATTCGAAATGGTACAACCAAGCTCATCACCTGGTACTTAACAAACACTCGGTGTGCGCCATATCTCTTCTATTCCAAACCATGGAATCGTTTGCATTCGTGCGATTTGATCGTACGGAGTCTGCAAGCGATTGGCAGCACCTCAAGGTAGTGCGCTACAGACGATATGCGTTCAACCGCCTCGCTCTTGCAGAAATAATCATGGCCTTTTGAAGCTGTAGTCTTTGAAATCGTTAGCATCATCGAGGAAGAGAACATAAATTGAATACTCAAGTTTACTGGTAAATACGAGCTGAGATGGTGTAGTGACAACTGGCGCGCTATCACGCATACGTGGTCACAGGTTTGAATACCGGGTCGATATCCGTCTAGGCCAACCAGGCCTTCCATCCCTCTTTGATCGCTTGATTGGTTCCAGACTGGTCTGAGAGTATAAAATACTGACTTTTACCTCGGCTGTCCACCGCAAGTCATTGTATAGGCCACATGCGCATTCAATAGCCTCTACGATTGCTGTTGGAAATCGAATGTGGGGCGCATCCCTCAGACGGTATTAAGCCCAGGAAGCGTTATCCTTCATCCTTCACCTTTCCGTCTGCATCCATATAAATCTGTAGTATCCTTTTAGCTCTTCAAAAGTGTTCTGCATTTCGTCGGGCAGTGTTTGATGAGTCGGAGCCAAGGCCCTGACCAAAGTTGGGGGAAGACTCCAGAACTTTTAGTCTAACTTCGACAGGACCTGAAGAGCAAGTCGGTAGAGCGAACTCGGTAGAGAGAACTAGGTGAACGACGTATACGTTCTGCATTAGTTAGGTGTGCAAGCGGGTATGACTATTGTACCGATCGAAAAGATTTCGCGACTGTTGTTCCCATTGCCCTTCAAGTAAGTAGTAGTAGTAGTAGGAACTGTGCAATCACGACGACGGAGAAGTAATTTTGATCTTGTAACTGTCCAAACTCATACGGGCCTTGCTATGCTCTTCTCAGTTTCGGCGCCTTTGGCCAGAACAGCTGCCTTTCTCTTTCCCAGATCTTCGATCATCGCTTTTCTGCAGTCTTGCAAGCTCGATCATGAATCTCTGACTTGTCGTGGAGATGTTCGATCAGCTTACTGATGGGCGGGCCTTGTCGATGTCGTGAATAAAGAATTTTCCCAAAAAAATCGAAAAAAAATCCAAAAATTCCCACACATTCATTTCCTTCCAATCTCAGGGCATTTTTTCTCGATATTGACGGTTCTCTACACGCAGCGGAAAAAGAATCTTGCTCGGAGGTGATGGTCCCATCCACATACAACTCCGGAACAACAGCGACATCAGTCAGATGAAATCTCTGATAAAAGATGATGACATCCACTTCGTCATAGGATGCTCATTTGGCGATTAGGTTGATGGCAGTTTCCTCCTGGACCCATTTTCGCCATTGAAATTGCCACAAACACCTTCAAAAGAGTAGAGTCTTTCCTATAGTACTAGGCTAATTGTAAGTGGGAAATATCTGCTGAAAAGTTGGAAAAAGTCCAGACTTATCCAGGGAGTTTCTAGAAGTTTCTATGGGATTTCCATGAGAGGACACTACCCACATTTATACGCGCAGATCATATCCGGCAACCTCTTCTTGGCTGATTTTTCCATAAAATGACCGAACTTCCTAACCATACTCGACACCCACTGCTTTACGAGTTCGAATCCGCCCACTGCCGAATACCATTGGAACTTGTGTCAAACATTTGGCCTCGAACCCCTTCTGAGCGATCCTGTACACACCCTGTTCAAGTGCACCAGAGCCCGGAACAGGACGGTTGCAGCCAAACCTCGATCTGATCAAAGATTGCGTTGTCATGAAATCTCCTTATATATTATGTGCATACTAATGAATAGTGTCCATTTATAGTATTTCTATGGAAACTTCCAGGAAATCCCGGGAGAAATCTGGGCGAATGTAAATTTTTGGCAGAATTTTTCCGCACAACCTATGATAGTACTTTTACTTTTTATGGAATACTTTCAGTTCATCTTCGTCGTCATAGATTCGACAGGCGATACGTAGGCAACAGTGATTATCAGAGTAGGGTCACATCGTTTCAATTGCGAACGTCGGATTCGATTTGACAGGTCTTCGTACGAATCGGTACTGCGACTGGGAAACTGTCGATGCTTTCGTCACAGCATGTTGTAAGAGCATCTCTTCTCTGTTCTCATCCCGAGAACAGGACAGGGCATAATGG